CACAAGGGCTAAAGTATTATTTAAAAAAAAAAATTATATAATACTGTCTACCACGGTTATGCATCGTGGTAAAAAATCTATTTTTCTTCTGTGAATAGACTTTTTACCACGGTTTTGCACTGTGGTAGAAAATAGACATTCTACCACGGTACAAAACCGTGGTAGAAAGTCGAACTTTCTAGCACGGTGCAAAACCGTGGTAGAATGTAGACTTTCTACCACGGTGTAAAACCGTGGTAGAAAGTCGATACTTTCTACCACGGCTGTTTCTACCACGGTTCAAAACTGTGGTAGAAAGGCTTTTCCACCGTGGTAAAAAGTCATTTTTCTTGTAGTGTTTTAAGATCCTGAAAGATACAACGGGAAGGAGAAAAAGTAACTGAGCAATTTAAATCTGATATGATTTTGCGAACTGGCAATAAATTGAATGAAAATTGAGGGATATGTAAAACTGATGAAAAAGTGAGACCCGAAGTGCAGAAGGTACCAATTCCATGAACATGTGATTTAGCACCATTCACTATAGTAACAACTGATGGTGAGAAAACATGAGAAATATCAGAAAGAAGAGATGGGTTGCCTGTCAAGTGATCGGATGCCCCTGAATCAATGATCCAAGGTGAAGATGAAGCATGGAGACATGTATTACCTAAAGTAACGATAGTAGCGGTGGAGAAGGGTTAATTTGCACGCTCACGCTTTACCAGAGAATCATATTCGGCTTTAGAGAGAACGACTTGTTCATTCGCAGGAGTGGGAGTAGTCTCCTCTAAAACCGAAGCTTGATTAGCCTAAGCTGGCTTGCCATGAAGAGCCCAGTAGAAGTCAACAAAGTGATTGTTTCGGCCACAATGAGTACACTTCTTGCTGCTGCGACCCCCTTTGCCGCCACTAGTACCATGGCCTGGGTTCGAAAGACCTCTGCCGCCACGTCCTCCACGGAAAGTATCATGTCGCTCAGTAGGAACAACAAGAGCAGAGTGGTTATCCTTCTTAATCACAGCGGGATGAATAAATGCTCTTCGAACTCGAGCAAAAGTCTCACTTAATATGGGTATCTCTTCGCCAGACAAAATCTGCGAACTGATCTGAGCGAGTTCGGATTTAAGTCCAGATAAAAATTTTGCAACCCGAAACTCCTCCCTGTGTCGTTTTTGTTGTTCTATGTCTGTAGTCAATGGTTGGTAGACATTCAATTCTTCCCATATGCCCTTCAGTTTTGAGTAATAATCTTCAACAGAACAATCTCCCTACTGGAGATTAAAAATATCCTGGTACAACTGAAAAATACGAGAAATATTCTTTTCTGAAGAATACATGACCCTGAGATTTTCCCAGATATCTTTGGCAGATTCTAGGAATGACACGTTGTTGAAGATCTCAGGCTCCAAGCTGTTCCATAACCAAGTCTAATCTGAGCGTCTTCTTTCTCCCAGGCCTCAATAATCTTTTCATCACTGGTGGGTTTGGTTGATTTAAGATATGACAGTTTTCCTCGAGCCCATAAGAACACCTCTATGGCTCAAGACCTTTGAAGGTAGATCGAGCCTTTTAGTTTGGTACTGGTGATTGAACCAAGAAGATGGGATTCCTTAATATCCATCACAAGAGCTACCGAACAAATGAGATATACTAGTGAGAGGGAGCCGAGATAAGAGAACCAAGATCTAGTCGAGATGAACCCGAGAGAAATTATTGAGGAGATAGCCGAGGAGGGATCCGAGAGAGATAGCCGAGGAGGGATCCGAGAGAGATTGCCGAGATGAGAACTGAGATCACCGAGGAGAGATGGCCGAGAAGAGATTGAGAGAAAGCCGAGATGGAATCAAGATCAGAGTCTGAATAAGACTAAAAAATAAAATAAAAAATTTAAAGAGGGATCGATTTCCACTTTGATACCATGTTGAAAGAGAGAGAAAGAGAATTTATTTAAATGTATATGCAATTGAGTAAGTAATACAATAATACAATGGTGTTTATATGGGAGGAGCCACGAGAGTAGGTGAGTGGAGAACAAGTAAACTCTATACTTGGTAATTCTAAATATAGTAATGATGGATAGGTGACAACTTATACAATACTAATTGTACACGTGTGACAACTCATACAATACTGTACAACATTACCCAAAATTAAAAATAGTTAAAAAAATAATAATTTGTCATAATCCATATCCTTCACTATATGATACATAAATTTACTGAGTCACCAGTTCTAGTGTGCTTTATAAACTAAAAAGTATCTATTCAGAAACATAAATTTGTGTATGAGGCATATCTCCCGTGACTAAAACAACAAAACTTCACAGCAAATTTGATTACAAATTTCATATGTCGATGAAGAGTAGTTTCGGAAAGCAAATTTGATTACAAAATACTTCTCTTGTCTGAATTTGTATTACAAAGAATACAAACTCAAAAATAAAATCAAAAATAAAAAAATAATAAGAAAGTCTCACCACCTCTCGAAGACTAGTTTACAACAACAATGCCAAGTCTGATTTTTCTACTGGACTGCCCAAATGGCAAAAAGAATTCACTTCTCATATTCAGTTCTTTTAAATCTATATATACAAAGGTACTCCACAATTACAACGGCTCAAAGGGAGTTACTTGGTAAAGAACCCATTAAAATGACTGTAAGACCCGTGTAAAATACATATATATATATATATTTATATCATATATTTATTTACTTAATATAATTTAATGGTTATCTCTGTTTTAATTTAAATGGGTGATTGTGATAAAGTCTGTTAAATAATTTAAATTTAAAAAAAAAAAAACTAATTTATCTCACCAGACTCCTTATATCTCTATAACTCTCTAATACATTTTATTTATATATATAAAAAAAGAGATATTAGCACAATAACGGGAGAAGAAGGGACCAGAGAGAGTGATTTGACGTCGTGTTTTCCTGCAGTAGCCGGGGGAAAGGAACGGTAATCGGGAAGTCGCGTAGAAAGGAAGAATTATTTATACCAGGCAAGTTAATCTTGCTTTGTACTTTTGTATATAAATGTGACTCGGCATATTATGTTCTTCGTCTATATAATTTATTTTTATTATGTCTTATTAAATTGATATAAAATATTTTAATTATAATTACGAACAGGATGATAATTATATTTAAGTTATTTTTATGTGAACTTGGGATAGAAGGATCTAATCTGGAATATTTTTATATAACTTTATACACGTATGAACTGACTGAATTAATTTTTTAAAGTCTGGATCATAGAAATTGTAAAATAATTTTATTTATTGGTTTGTTAAGGTAGTAGGGAATTAAAATAGTATATGGATTTGTATACGTGTGTGTGTGGGTGTGTGTGTGTATATATATATATATATATATATTGTTTTTCTGACAGTCATGTATGGATAAAGCAACCACAGTTGTGGACAAATATGATACAGTGTGGTGATCGGACAAAGGACAATAGTTTTATTCGTGAACAAGAGCACAATTTGGAGCATAAGATTCATTTTTTTTTTTTTCTAAATAATTAATGTACCATGGGTTAGCCGCATGTCATGAGATGTAAACAAATTGGTCTGGTAAGAGTTCCAGAACTTATAATATAATAGTCATGGAGTAGCTGAAGTTCTATTAGTGGTTGTTGTACAACTTGTAAGAATTGATTTTCTCTTTATGTGTTAGATGGTTCATGAGTCATAATTGATAGCTATAGTACAAACTGTGGGTTGACTAGAATTGGTTTTGTCTTCTTGTAAAGTTTGAGAGGATGATTGGTTATTGGTTAGAGACTTAAGAAAAGGAATTCAGTCTTGAGAATGAAATGGGCCAGTATGTGCAAGCAAACCCACGAGCAAGCTATTGTTAGGCTTTGGGTGAGTTACTGGAAATGGTGTAAAATAAGGTTCAATAGTTATTTTAAAATATTAGGAATTGTGCAAAGTAGTAGTTAAATAATATTATAAATTATGGTATATTTCTAGCTTCTCAAATCATGTGGTGGAATTTTTTTTTTTAATTGTTTAATGTATATAAAAACATATCATTATATATTTTCAGTGTAATATATAAGCATGGGATATGATTGGATTAGTCGGCGGAGTAGTCCAGGACTGACTTAGTGATGACTTTTGGGTATGGTCAGGGACCTACCTATTTGGGAGTGCACTACCCTTTTGTTATGGCCATGGGTCTAATGAGCCCTTATTGTGTGGACGTGATCAGGGATCATCTGGGAGTAGACGTACAATCCAGCTACACGTGTGTTTTTGGTAGTCAGGGACTATACGATTCACACCACTTTATTGAACGGGAGCCAGGGGCTCATGCGAGATATGTGGATTTATTAAATAATAAATAATAGATATTTATTGGGTTTATAATTAAGTGGGATTTACATATCTGATTAATGCACTTATTTGAGCTGCTTATATATATAAGAATACAATGTGAGGTTAATTTGCTGAACGATGATTGTGTTTAGCATTTATTGCTGAGCTGTGAGCTCACCCTATTATCACATTTTAGGTACACGTTGAGTAGGAACCTGATAGGATCACATGATGGTGATGGATTTTGGCCAGCTTTATGTATTTTTTTGGTTTAGTTAATTTTCGCATTGTAATAAGAATGGCGATATTTTCTTTTGAGTTAGTTCATTTAGGTCCAATTATCGTGGATTATTTTTGACAAGGTTGTTTAATACTATGGTTGTATCAATTTAATAATTAGAGGGTGGTTGAATCTACCTCTTTATTTGATTATTTTTTTTTTTGTAATGTTGTGGTTCTGTAATGAAAGTTATGCCAGACTTTAATACAAGATAGGAGTACATGTATTTAAGATTTTGGGGCGTGACAGTTTGGTATCAGAGCCTAGGTTAAGAATTACCTGGCTAAGAAAAGTGGTAGTAAGAATAGGAGCATATACTTATACGAATTATTGCTCTCTTACCATGCTCCAGTTTAAGTATAAATTACTTGTGAGACTTATCATTAACATTCTTTACTGAAAATAGGATGTCAGGAGCTGGAAGAGGTAGAGGACGACCTGCTAGAGGCAGAGGTCAGGGAGGTGTTGGTCGTGGTGGTGTTAACCATGACGATGTTCAGTTGGAGGATGCACCTCATGTGCCGAATCCTATGATTGGATTTATCAGAGATATCCGCAAATTGGGGGCTGTTGAATTTGCTAGAGCTACCGATCCACTTGATGCTGAGAAGTGGATTGAAGATATGGAAAAGTATTTTGAGATGATGGACTGCACTGAGGTGCAGAAAAGGAAGATTGGTGCATTTCTTTTATCTGGTGAGGCGCGCCAGTGGTGGCAGTCAGAGACCAGGATGGTTGTGGACATTACAACTATGACCTGGGATGATTTTAAAACTCGGTTCAATGACAAATACTTTCCACAATCAGTGAAGGAGAAGAAGGCAGCAGAGTTCACGCAGCTAGAACAGAATAATGAGATGTCAGTTAGTGAGTACGAGAGGAAGTTTACAGAGCTATCCCGATTCGCTCCTCACATTGTTGCGAATGAGTTACACAAGGTTAGAAAGTTTGAGCGAGGATTGGTCTCTTATGTGAAGAAGTTTGTGGTGGGTCATCGTTTTGACACATATGCTAGAGTGGTGGAATGTGCTATGGCAGTAGAGGAGAATAATAACATTGACTTTCAGAAATAGAAGGAGCGTAGGGCAGAACAGAAAGGTAAGGGGGCTAGCAGCACTCAACAGAATCAGAGTAGCTCTCAACAGAATCAGAGGGGTCAGCAGCAGCAGACTCAGAGAAACTGGCAGGGTCAGTCTTGGCAGAGAGGTAGACAAGATTGGCGAGCAGGGAAACGGCAGAGAGTTGGTGAAGGTGAGCAATCCACAGCTTTAGTACCAGCCACACCTCATGATGCACAGCCATATCAGTTCAGCGGGCATTGCTACAATTGTCGTGAGTAAGGATATTTGGCTCGTAATTGTACCAAGCCTCACAAGAATAACCAGCAGAAAGGTCAGGCACCACAGCAACAAGGAGGTGCAAGGGTTTATGCAGTTGTTCCAGATGGGAGACAGGATCGTGCACCACCAGCAGTGGAAGGTACACTTACTATTTATGGCAGTATAGCTAGAGTACTATTTGATTCAGGTTCTTCATATTCTTTTATTGCACTATCATTTGTGAATACACTGGGATTAGAACCTGGACATATAAGTAATGCCTTATCTATTACAACTCCACTCGGGAGCGCGACGACACTTGATAGAATATGTCGTGCTTGCCCTGTTACAATTGGGGAGTTGGAGTATCCTATTGATTTAATAGTATTACGTATGAGAGAATTTGATGCTATACTGGGTATGGATTGGTTGGTTAGATATCATGCTCAGTTGGAATGCCATGAGAGGATTATTGTATTCTCAGTTCCGGGACAGTTTCCTTCTCGATATAAGTGTGGGGAGTTTGAGGGCACCATGACTATGGGATTTCTGGCCCACATCGAGGTGGTTGAGCAATGCGTGACTATAGAGCAGTTGCCTACAGTGTCAGAGTATGCAGATGTGTTTCGGGATATTCCGGGTTTGCCTCCTAGGAGGGCAGTGGATTTCTGCATCGACCTCACTCCTGGTATTTCACCTATCTCTAGGGCACCCTACAGAATGGCGCCAGTTGAATTGAGTGAGTTGAAGAAGCAGACTCAAGAGTTGCAAGATCGGGGGTTTATTCAACCTAGCACATCACCGTGGGGAGCACCTGTTCTTTTTGTTAAGAAGAAGGATGGGTCACTCCGCTTATGTGTTGACTACCGTGCGCTGAATAAGGTCACTATTAAGAACAAGTACCCATTGCCACGCATCGATGATTTGTTTGATCAACTCAGAGGGGCACAGTTGTTCTCTAAGGTTGACTTGAGGACTGGGTACCATCAGCTGAGGATTAGGGATGAGGATATTCCTAAGACTGCCTTTAGGACTCGTTATGGCCTCTATGAGTTTTTAGTCATGCCTTTTGGGTTGACTAACGCTCCGGCAGCTTTTATGGATTTGATGAACCGAGTGTTTCGACCTTACTTAGATCAGTTTGTTGTGGTATTTGTTGATGACATTCTGATATATTCCAAGACTAAAGAGGAACAAGAGAGACACTTGAGCATTACACTTCAGACTTTGCGTGAGCATCAGCTTTATGCTAAGTTTGAGAAGTGTGACTTTTGGCAAGAGCAGATTCAGTTTTTGGGGCACGTGATCTCTAAGGATGGAGTTTCAGTAGATTCTGCCAAGGTGGAGGCTGTGATGAGTTGGAAACGGCCTACTACTGTCACTGAGATTCGTAGCTTCTTAGGACTGGCAGGATACTACAGGCGTTTCATTGAAGGTTTCTCCAAGATTGCTGCACCATTGACCCGTTTGACTCGGAAGGATGTGAAGTTTGTTTGGGATCACCGCTGTGAGCAGGCATTTGAGGAGCTGAAGACGAGATTGACTTCGACACCAGTTCTTACCATTCCTGTTAGTGGTGAGAGATTTGTGATTTACACAGATGCATCACATCAGGGTCTTGGCTGTGTTTTGATGCAAGATGACAAGGTGGTAGCGTATGCCTCTAGGCAGCTTAAGCCACATGAGCAGAATTACCCTACACATGATCTGGAATTGGCAGCAGTGGTTCTTGCATTGAAGGTGTGGAGGCATTACTTGTATGGCGAGGAATTTGAGTTATTCTCTGATCACAAGAGCCTCAAATACCTCTACACTCAGAAGGAGTTGAATATGAGGCAACGAAGGTGGATGCAGAAGATGAAGGATTTTGATATGACTCTTCAGTATCATCCTGGAAAGGTGAATGTGGTAGCAGATGCCTTGAGTCGGAAACCGAGAGGATTAGTTGCCTTTATGATGATTCAGGAGTGGATGATGTTAGAGGCATTGGCAGAGTTTTCTATCATGCCGAGTTCTCAGAGTACAGGGGCTATTCTTTGTAGTTTGACTGTACAACCTACTTTGATCAGTCGGATCACTCATTTTCAGACTCTGGATGACAGGTTACAGACCAAAGCAGTTGAGTCTGTTAATGATGAAGGTAATGTTGACTGGGCGTATGGAGCTGATGGTGGTATGAGATTTCGAGGTAGGCTATGTGTTCCAGACTTAGCAGACCTCAAGAGAGAGATTTTAGAGGAGGCACATCACTCTAGGTACACAATGCACCCAGGTGGCACTAAGATGTATCATGATCTTAAGAGGCAGTTCTGGTGGGAAGGCATGAAACGTGATGTGGCAGAGTTTGTATCTAGATGTCTCACTTGTCAGCGAGTGAAAGCTGAGCACCAGAGACCAGCAGGACTATTACAGCCTTTGCCTGTGCCTGAGTGGAAATGGGAGCATGTGACGATGGATTTTGTAGTGGGGTTACCGAGGTCGATACATAACCATGATACAGTATGGGTGATAGTGGACCGATTGACTAAATCAGCTCATTTTTTACCCATTCGAGCTACTGATACTGTAAAGGAATTGTGTAAGATCTACATTAGAGACATAGTTAAGCTTCATGGAGTGTCGGTGTCTATTGTCTCAGATCGTGATCCTCGTTTTTCATCTCGATTTTGGAGTAGTTTCCAAGCAGCTTTTGGTACTCCTTTGAGTTTGAGTACTGCTTTTCATCCTCAGACCGATGGCCAGTCTGAGAGGGTCATTCAAGTGTTGGAGGATATGCTTCGTGCTTGTGTGCTAGATTTTCATGGCAGTTGGGAGGATCACATTCCATTGGTTGAGTTCGCTTATAATAATAGCTATCAGGCTAGTATCGGCATGGCACCATATGAGGCACTTTATGGTAGACCTTGTCGTTCACCTGTATGTTGGGCTGAGGTTGGTGATGGTAGTTTTTTGGGGCCAGAGTTGGTGCAAGAGACTACGGAGAAGGTTGCCATCATTCGAGATCGACTTCGCACAGCTCAGAGTCGACAAAAGAGTTATGCAGACCGACGCCGTCGTGCTTTGGAGTTTAGTGTGGGTGACTTGGTGTTCTTGAAAGTATCACCAATGAAGGGGGTTACGAGATTTGGTAGGAAGAAAGGGAAGTTAGCTCCTCGATTCATTGGACCTTTTGAGATCACAGAGAGGGTTGGAGTGGTGGCATATAGATTGGCTCTACCACCTAGACTATTAGCTGTTCACGATGTTTTCCATGTCTCTATGTTGAGGAGGTGCTTGAGGGATGAAACTCAGGTCATTGACTGCACAGAGGTCCAGATTTGCCCTAATACGACCTATGTTGAGACGCCTGTTCGCATTGTTGACAGTATGGTGAAACAGTTGAGGCGGGCAGAGATACCTCTGGTGAAGGTACAGTGGAATCATCAGGATGAGAGAGAGGCTACGTGGGAGCTAGAGTCAGAAATGAAGGGAAAGTACCCACATCTATTCGAATAAGGTACGCAAATTTCGAGGACAAAATTTCTTTCTAGGAGGGTAGAATGTAAGACCCGTGTAAAATACATATATATATATTTATATCATATATTTATTTACTTAATATAATTTAATGGTTATCTCTGTTTTAATTTAAATGGGTGATTGTGATAAAGTTTGTTAAATAATTTAAATTTAAAAAAAAAAAAACTAATTTATCTCACCAGACTCCTTATATCTCTATAACTCTCTAATACATTTTATTTATATATATAAAAAAAGAGATATTAGCACGATAACGGGAGAAGAAGGGACCAGAGAGAGTGATTTGACGTCGTGTTTTCCTGCAGTAGCCGGGGGAAAGGAATGGTAATCGGGAAGTCGCGTAGAAAGGAAGAATTATTTATACCAGGCAAGTTAATCTTGCTTTGTACTTTTGTATATAAATGTGACTCGGCATATTATGTTCTTCGTCTATATAATTTATTTTTATTATGTCTTATTAAATTGATATAAAATATTTTAATTATAATTACGAACAAGATGATAATTATATTTAAGTTATTTTTATGTGAACTTGGGATAGAAGGATCTAATCTGGAATATTTTTATATAACTTTATACATGTATGAACTGACTGAATTAATTTTTTAAAGTCTGGATCATAGAAACTGTAAAATAAATTTATTTATTGGTTTGTTAAGGTAGTAGGGAATTAAAATAGTATATGGATTTGTATACGTGTGTGTGTGGGTGTGTGTGTGTGTATATATATATATATATATATATATATTGTTTTCCTGACAGTCATGTATGGATAAAGCAACCACAGTTGTGGACAAATATGATACAATGTGGTGATCGGACAAAGGACAATAGTTTTATTCGTGAACAAGAGCACAATTTGGAGCATAAGATTCATTTTTTTTTTTCTAAATAATTAATGTACCTTGGGTTAGCCGCATGTCACGAGATGTAAACAAATTGGTCTGGTAAGAGTTCCAGAACTTATAATATAATAGTCATGGAGTAGCTGAAGTTCTATTAGTGGTTGTTGTACAACTTGTAAGAATTGATTTTCTCTTTATGTGTTAGATGGTTCATGAGTCATAATTGATAGCTATAGTACAAACTGTGGGTTGACTAGAATTGGTTTTGTCTTCTTGTAAAGTTTGAGAGGATGATTGGTTATTGGTTAGAGACTTAAGAAAAGGAATTCAGTCTTGAGAATGAAATGGGCCAGTATGTGCAAGCAAACCCACGAGCAAGCTATTGTTAGG